ACCGACAGCTCCGCGGGCGTGCAGCCCCAGGGCTCGGCGGGGAAGGGGCTCGGCGGTGGTGATGGTGGTCTGGGGCGATTCCTGTCCCCTGTGGTCGAGGCACAAATGCTGTTTCAGGCTCCTTCTCACCTCCCAGAGTCAACTGGCCTTTTGCTGGAGGCGTTTTCAGCCTTGAGTTTCCCCTGCTCCCCCTCTCTCTGTTTACCAGATCCCCGTAGCCGTTCCCTCCCTGCTCCCAGGCTATTCATCATCTTTGACAGAGGCCAAATTGCCACCGATTTCAGACAAAATTCAAGGTAAGAAATCAGCAAATCCCACTTTGCGGCGCTCGCAGCCGGATCCTCCTGGTGCCCTGGGAGGAGTCGGGGGGGAGCTGCCAGAGGACAGTGGGCAGGGGGGGGCGCGCTAACTCCCAACCCCATCGCAGCCTCGGCCAGAGCTTTCTGCCGCCGAGAAGCAGCAGGAGGTTTTGCTCACCCAGGGGTCCCAGGCTGAGCACTCGCCCTCTCTGGTGCCACCATCAGATGAAGGGCTGGGCACCGTGGTGGCACTTTGCACCAGCGGGAAATGTGGACGTGTCATTGCCCTTTGCAGCATCCCACAGCATCCCTGCTCAGGAGGAGCTCCTGGCTCGGTCGGACGACGTCTTGGCACACACTGGTTTGGATGGATGTAGCCTTCAGGAGCCGTTTAGTCGGCTCAGCATCCCTCCGGGAGCGAGGCAGCAGCCTGGTGCCACCGTCATCGCCTTCCTTCTGCACGTGCGGGGGCTGCAGGAGAGAAGCCCCATGCAAACGCTTCGAAACGGCCTCGTCGCAGTGAAGTCAGTGGCTCCACTCCGCACCAGCCCCTCGTCCTGGGGGCATGCTGCCTTCTATCAAGGTGGGCTTACACTTGCGTTTCAACCGCTTCACACTTTGCCTGGCAGATGTCTGCACCCAAAGTCGGCTCCTTCACCCTCTCTGCCCTTCCCTGCTCCTGCTCTGTGCACCCAGACCTTCCTCTTCCTCCTGCTCCACCTCGGGGAGGAGCCCCACAGGGACCACACACTCATCGCTGCCTCGATGGCTGGGCCACGTCCTTGGCTCTTCCTCCGGCTTCTGTCTCTGTTCCTTGAGCTCCAGCCCCGTTCTTCTTCCCATCTCATCTCCTCTCTTCGCTCTCTGGTCTTCCCTCCAAGAGGCTGAAGGCATCCTGACGGATTCCTCCTGCGACAAGCACAGTCTCCCAGCAGCCACGGAGGTCCTGGTCCACTGCGGCATTGGGGCTCGTCTCCAGGGGCTCGATCTGGCCGTGGCTGTGATGCGATATGATGTGATGTGGTATGATGTGATGTGATGTGATGTGATGTGATGCTATCCAGGCAGCTGGCAGGAGGAGGGCAGGGAGGACCTGGCTCTTGGCTGTGTTCTGGCCTCCAGGCATCAAGGTGCCGATGGTTCTGCCCCTGTGTCCCCAGGCAGCGACAGCTGGTGGGACGACAGGTGAGAGTCTGGGGACAGAAAAACCCACAGACTGTTCTGCAGGTTTCTGGGAGGCACCAGCATTGTGACAGGGTCCTGCCAGCATTATGCCCCTGGGAGATCACCAACTCCACAGAGTCAGGGCACGGGGAGGCTGTGCCTGGCAGGGAAAGTGAAAAAACGGTGGGAAGGGCAGCGCAGCTGCCCCGGGCGACACTGGGGATGGACTCAGTGATCTTAAAGGTCTTTTCCAATCCAGGCAATTCCACCAGGGTCCCCACTGCCACCCCCCAGCAGCATCCCAGCCCCGCGCTGGCAGTTGGAAACGCTGGGAGAGGGCTGCGCTCCCGTCCCCTCTGAGCTCCTACATGGAGACACGGAAGAAGAGATGGAGAAGGTCTTTTATCCCTGGTTGCTTTGATAAAGAGACGACACAGAGTGAGTTCCCAGCTGCTCTGTGGCAGCAGGACAGGACGGCCCCCCACGGGCTTTCTGTACTGACGGTGGATCCCGGGTCCATTTATTGGATCTCCCAGCGCTCCGGCTTCCCATTCAGCCAAGGCACCGTAACCTCCTGCAGCCCCAACAAACCTTCCTCGGGCAATCTCCAGTGCACACGCATTTACGAAAATGGCCCAGGCGTTCCCGACAGATGGGCTCTGCAGTGCCAGGAGCAGGTTACTAGCGCTAATCACGACAGTAGCTTCCTTGTTTTCCTCTCCTCTTAGCTGCAAAGTCGTTCTTACGAAATTAAGATGATAAAAGGTTGCGTATGTGAAATTTCCATCCTTTGAGGTTTTGAACTACTGTGTATTTTCTGGATACAACCCTGGAGCAAATCACATCCTCAAATCAATAAAACACCGCGTTGGTCAATACCATATCATAACATAATTTTTTTTAAAGAAAAAAATCGAACTTAAAGCAAAGGGAGCTCTTACAGCTGATTATTTTGTGCAAATTTTGAAATCGTATCGACTGTTTACTTCCATTTCGAGGCATGTTGCTTCCTCCAGGCTCCTTCCTCCTGCATATTGCGAACGTGTTTGCAGTGATGGGCGTGCATGCTGAGAAACTGCTCTCTTGCTCTCTCTCGCAGCGGCCAGGAGTGGAAGGATGCTTAGCCCGGTGGCACCGCAGCCCTCCCGGACCTCCCTGAGCTCTCATCGTGTCCCTTTACTGTCTGCTTGTGTCTTTCAGGGTGTTTAACTGGTGGTGTTCTCTTCCTGCCTGCGCTGTGGGGTTTTTTCTGTTGTACAGGGGCTGCTGCTGCCTGTCCGGGTGTGTGCTCCTCCACGGCTGTAGGAACCGGTGCGGAGATCTCGAGTGCTGCTCTGGGGACAGCAGAGCCCTTCTGGGGCAGCAGAGCTCCCCTGGGGACAGCAGAGCCCTTGGGTGCTGCCACCGCTGACGCGTGCCTCCCTCCTTTGCCCGCGTTTAACTCTGTGCTTTCCGTTTAACAGAAGGACAAACGCGACACGTCCAACTTCGACAAAGAGTTCACCCGGCAGCCGGTGGAGCTCACGCCCACGGACAAACTCTTCATCATGAACTTGGACCAGAACGAGTTTGCTGGATTCTCCTACACTAACCCCGAGTTTGTCATTAACGTGTAGTCGCGGCGCCGCCCGCCCGCTCCTCACAGCCCAAGACTCCAGACCGCCTTGTACATACCGACACTAGTCTTCCGGGGTTAGCAGAGCAGACACACACACACACCCTCACGCGAAACACGCCAACCGCTCGTTTTTAGGAGGCCGTCCTATGTCTGTGTCACTCGCTAGCTTGGTTTCCCTAGCTGGAGGTGTTTGGGGTTTGGGCTTAACAGTCGGTGATACTTCTAGGAATTATAGTTGGTGGTGACTAATAGAGTTTTTAAACAGAAATACACCAAATTGCTACAGTCTTTGTAATTTTTGAAATCGGATGCTGAGATTCCAGTGACCCTCGCTACTCACAAACCGTTTCTGTTGAATGCTAAGCATGGTCGATATCTTAAACCGTTGTGCTGAAGCTTGCGGTGGCTGTGAGCTTGTCTTAGAGGAGCCTTTTTGTTCGAGACATGGGTACATTTTGATCAGTGTGGAAAAGTCCGCTTATAGACATATATTTTTAAATGCATTGTATATACAGTCAGCCTGGCTCACCGCAGCCGTCCCCCTCCCTCGCCTCCCGCAGCCCGCGCCGCGCCACACAGCCTTTCCTACACTCAGGCATTCCGACTCCGAGCCAATCCCATGCCAGTTCTTGTAAATCAGAGCAAACCTTTTTTCTAAGCGAAGGTGGGATTTTATTTGATTTTTTTCTTTTTAACATCTGGAACAGTTTGCAGTTTTGATACACTCTGTCAGCGCTCTCATAAATCTTTCTCCTGTTGTTTTTTTTTCACAGACACTGTCGAAACTTAACAGCTCTGTAAAGGATATTAATATTCTACCAAAACAAAACACATTTATATTCTCGGTTTACAATTTACCAACTGAAAATACGCCCGCTGCTAAAGGGCTGTACTGAGGGCTATTTATAATGGTAACTTTTCTACTTTACACCCTCCGCTATTATCTGAAAAGCTCAAAACCCAGGCATTTTACAGGCATCTTGATTTACCTGACTTCAGCCAGAACTCCTGGGGGGGTTTTACTCAGTTAATCCAGGACCTTCTGCATCATTTTAAAAAATCTGGATGGGAAGGGACAATTCCAGCAGCTAGCCATGAGGCAGAGCAGCGCTGTGCCTGGGGTGCCCTGCGGGAGGGCAGGGCTGGGCACGAGCGGGACGGGGCAGGAGCCAGCAGGGATGGGCAGGAGCAGACAGGAATTGGGAGCAGGCAGGGGCTGGCAGGAACAGGCAGGAGCAAGCAGGAGTTAGAAACAAGCAGGAGTGGGCAGGAGCAGGCAGGAATAGACGGGAGCAGGCAGGACTGGGCAGGAATAGTCAGGAGTGGGCAGGAGCAAGCAGGAGATAGAAGCAAGCAGGAGGGGACAGGAGCAGGCAGGAGCAGGTAGGAATAGACAGGAGCAGGCAGGAGTTAGGAGCAAGCAGGGGCTGGCAAGAGAAAGCAGGAGCAGGCAGGGACAGGCAGAAGAAGGCAGGAGTTAGAGCAGGCAGGGGCTGCCTGTCGGCGCCCAGCCGGTGACCCTCGCTCACCATCGGGTTTGCAGCAGGGCAAGTGAGCATCCTTGGAGTCCCTGGCTGTTAGCCCTCTCGCGGTTTTCCAAAAAACCCCAACCCCAGATGTATGTTTTCTGAACCGCCACCGGTTCTAATGTAAATACACATTACTCCATGCCTATAGGGGAAAATGGGGGGTGGAATTTTATGAATCACGAGGACTCCTATGAAGGAAATTCTGGTTTGTAGATCTTTTATAAAACACCAAATTCTACTTTTTCTTTTTTTTTTTTAGATTATTTTCTTCTTTTAATAGTTCATTGAGGAAAACAGGCTGCTAGAAGCCAAAGCCGACGCCAGGCATCCTGGCCCCGTGTTGGGGTGCAGGCAGGCGGTGCCCGGCACGTGCGGGGCTGAGCCCCTGGTCTCAGGTACTGACCTGAGCTGGAGGGAACAAAACAAAACCCAGAGAAAAACTGCAAATTGTGCCAGATTGATGAGAGGGTTTGTGAGACGCGCTGCATCAGACAAAGCCCAGGGAGGGCTCGCGTGTGGGCTGGTTTCTGGTGAGGGTTCTCGTAACTCCAGCGTACGTGTCGGAAGACGTCTCGCCATCCGCAGACCACAGCCGATGTTCAGAGCATGTTACTGTAACTCCCAACCCTGTTGCTGCAGAACTAGCATTCCTTCAGTGGTGAATGTTTTTTAATTTCCGTTATCTCTGGCTCCGAAGCCGCTCGCGGGGTCTCTCCAGGATGCTGCTGTCGGGTGTCCCGTGCCGAGGGGCAACCTGGGGCCATGCTTACATGCAGCAGCTGCTGGGGGGGAATAGGGGGGGAATTATGTCTTTTCTGTTTGGGACCTCTGTGTCTGTGTTGGGGTGACACTTCCACATGGAGCAGGCGTTGCCGTGCCGCCGCACAGCTTCAGCGGCATCCTCGGGATCTGCAGGGGTAGGATCCACGCTCCGTGGAGAGGTTGGCTATTTGCAGGGATCATCCCCTGAGTGTGTCTGACGTTGTCCGTTCTGCTACTTGCCAAACTCCTATTTCAAGGTTTATTTCCAGATGACCTGTTTCTTCTGTGGAGAATACAGTGCGATGTGCTGGGCCCTGCACAGGCGCTGAGATTTATACCAACTCTTCCAAGAAGGGCAGAGTGACAATGGTTGACTCACTGTTTGCCGTAACTTGATGATTTCATCCTCACTGTTGGACGGGGAAAGCAGTGCTTCAGGAAGATGCTCTGAGAGGCTGCAGGAGAGCCCTGTTGGTTGGGGATAAAGCCTGGTGAAACGACCCCTGAGCGGGGCCAGGGCGAGCGAGCGGCAGGGGAGGCAGGAGAGGGATGCTCGGGACGGGGCAGAGGGGGCATCTCAGCCTGCAGCTCCAGGGGAGGCTTGTGGGGTGCACCCACACAGCTCCCTGCATGCTGGGGGTGTTCAGTGTCCCACAGTCTGGGACTGGTAGCAGGGTGGGACCCAGAGCCCTGCACCTCCCCGGGTGAGGGCAGAGGAGGGACATGGTCACCCCACCCAAAAAGGATGGCAAGTCCCAGCTCTTTCTTGGGCTGGATCACACCTGAACACTGCAGGTAAGTGGGGTTCAGGCTCCTCAGGTGGTTCCCAGTGGAGCAGGGTGGGTTAGACAGTGTCCCCTCCCCAGGGGCTCTGTTGGCCCCTTTGCTGTTGGTCGGCTGGGCCAGCTCCGGGTGGCAGAACCCGCAGGGCTCCAGGGGCTCTGCAAAGGAGACCGCGTGCTCTGTGAAGAGCTCTGCGGGACTGAGGCTCCTGGAGGCGAAGAAATAACCACTTGCGTTTGCCCACTGGCTGAGGGTTCCTCTCCCGACACTGGTGTTGGGGAATGAGCCAGGATCCCTTGGTGCAGGAACAGATTTATGGCTGGCAGTGCTGGGGCTCCCTGGGCATGCCTTGGTCTTCCCCTTGGACATTTTGCCAAAGAGAAGGAGAGAGGACCGCGGGGCTTTGTCCATGTTCCTGGTCTAGAGCACAGCCTGGCTTGAGCTGGGGAAGGTTGGGGAGGCTGCCAGGTGCCCGCACGCAGGGACGGTGGAGGAGACCTGCTGCTGCTGTGTGCCCTGGCTGGACATCTGAGCAGCCTTCCCTTGGTAAGAGAGCCATCACCAAAGGAGTTACTGATGCGTTTAATCCATTTAATAAATAACTGCAGGTCTGCACAGTGGCCAACCCACGTAGGTAGTCTGGAAAACGAGAAGGTGAGCAAGTGCTCTGGGCAGCAGATGTGCTCTGATAACTGAGAGTCCCGGGAGCTCTGCTGCAAGTGAGGAACTGGGGTGGTTTCTAGCACAGAGTGTGAGGATCTAGCTGTTCAAATGGTATTGCTTGCGTCTGGTGGGTGGAAGGAACTGATACTAACAAGTGCTGCAGCTTCTCTGCTTTTGCAGAAGCAGGCGAGGCACTGAGCCTGCAACAGCAAAAGAAGCAACCAGCGTCTTGCTCCATGTGTGGAAGTGTCATCCAAGCTGTTTATTTCTGATCATGTTCAAAGCGGCAATTAAAGCAAGGATTAAAAAAAAAAGAAAAAGAAAATGTTTATTGTTGAACAGTTTGTGTTTGTGATTTTGATTTCACCTGCAAGTATTTGATGACTTTTCTACATCCTAGACTACCTGCTGTATGTTGTCAAAAGATTCTCATGAAGACCTCCTTTTAGATGGGCATATACTCTTTATTCTATTTGCTGCATGTATGAAAAAAAATAAAATATATAATTTTAAAGAAACCCCAAGAGCTTGACTTCCTTTGCCTGCGAGACTCGGGTGGCTTTCAGTGGGGAGAGCCGGCAAGCAGTGGGCCCCCCTGACAATCAGAGCTGCCTCTGGCTGTTGGCCACCTGCATGGTCACCTGGGGGGGCCCCACTGAGCCCTGTTGCAGCAACAAACACTGAGATGGGGCAGTTTTCTGTAAAAAAAAAATGCATCTGGACAGCTGGGGAATATTAGCAAGTGGAGACTTGCAGCTGGGGCTGGGCTTAAAGGTACATACAGACCAGCAGGGAGGGAAGGCGTAGGTTATTTGTGTCTTCAATTAATTGCTGATTAAGATGAGTTAATTAAGACTATTGCAGAGGCTCTTTCCACCACCCTCAGCAGCTCACGCCGGGCCGGCAGGGGGGCGAGGC